ACCCCTCCCCCTTCGGGCCGCCTCGGGCCTTCCTGACGCTGCCGGCCTGGCAGGCGGCGCGCGCCGGCTCCGTCTCCTTCGACTTCCGAACCACCGAAGCCAACGGGCTCCTGCTCTTCGCCCAGGGGCGGCCGCAGGGGCCCGGCCACCCCCGGCCCGACTACTTCGCCCTGGAGCTGCTGGACGGGCACCTCTACCTGCTGCTGGACATGGGCTCCGGCGGCATCAAGGTGCGCGCCAGCGCCCGCAAGGTCACCGACGGCGAGTGGTGCCACGTGGACGTGCAACGGGACGGGAGGAAAGGTGAGGGGGCGAGGGCGGCGGTGCGCCGAGAGGTGGGAGCAAAGGGGTGCGTGCACGGGGTTCTGGAGGCGTGCAACGGTGTGTGCGTGCACAATGGTTCTGGAGGCGTGCAGGGGTGCGTGTGCACGGGGGGGTCTGGAGGCGTGCGAGGGGGTGTGGGTGCAGGGAGGGTTTGCAAGCACGCAAGGGTGTTGGTGCATGGAGAGGTGGTGCACGTATGGAGGGTTTGCAGGTGTGCAAGGGTGGTGGTGTGCGGAGAGGTGGGTGCAAAGGTTGCGTTCGTGGGGGTTTGCACGCCTGCGGGGGTGTTTGTGCACGGAGGTGGCAGAGCGCAAGTGGGGTGCGTGCACAGGGGGTTTGCAGGTGTGCGAGGGTGTTGGTGCACAGAGGGGTGGCAGGTGCAAAGGGCGTCTGTGGGTGGGGGTTTGCACGCGTGCAAATGGCGCCCGTGGGTCTGTGCACGGGGGGGGCTGTGTGCGCAGGGCGGCCCTGGAGCCCCCGCGGTGCCCGTGTCCCCGTGTGCCCGGTGATGCCGTGTGTGGCCACGTGTCCCCGCGTCCCTGCAGGGCCGTGTGTCCCTGTTGTCCCCCCGTGGTGCCGTGCATCCCTGCGTCCCCACGGTGCCGTGCATCCCCTGCACCCCCATGTCTCCTGGTGTCCCCATGGTGCCACCCACCTGTGTCCCCTGGCGTCCCCACGGTGCCGTGCACCCCCTGCACCCCCGTGTCCCCACGATGCCGTTGCACCCCTGTGTCCCCCCGCGGCGCCGTGCACCCTGCGCACCCCAACGTCCCCTGCCGTCCCCCCAGGCTCGGTGTCGGTGAACAGCCGCAGCACCCCCTTCCTGGCGAGCGGCGAGAGCGAGGTGCTGGACCTGGACTCGGAGCTTTACCTGGGGGGGCTCCCCGAGGGGCGGCCGGGCCCCCCGCTGCCCCCCGAGCTCTGGACGGCCTTTCTGCGCTACGGCTACGTGGGCTGCATCCGCGACCTCTTTGTCAACGGCCGCAGGCCAGGCGTGCGGCC